CGTATAATAATATTATACAAACGGAAGAGAAGTGCGTAATAAGCCCAGGCCACGGATTGTCGAGCGGAAAATCAATCGAACCTCGATTCATTCAAGTATACATTATTTTTATTTTTTATTTTTGAAGTAAAACTTCTTTAGATTGGAAATGAAGAGTTAATCCTCGAGTCGAAAATAGTGTACGATTGCCTCGTGATAGAATCTGGTGATTCGCTGCTACACTTGGCTCTAGACGATTATGGCGGAATTATTGTGACTGAATTGCCACTAAGAAACGGCGTAACCCGAACAAGCTAATGAGGATGGAAAAACTCTTCTGCACATTATTTGCAAAAGCCTCTAATACAAAAAAGATTTCATGGAGATATTGTTCAAGAAGTGTGACGATATCCAACAGATGGTTCAGGTCCAAGCCAAACGACAAAGCTCTAATATCAATCTGAAGTCTTTTTGTTCAACAAAGAGCGCAAAAATCAAAAAATATAAATAAATAAATTGAATTCATTAACTTGTTTGAATTTGACTTTTTAGTGTTTCAATAAAATTTAATTCAATTCGATTTTTATTTTAATCTGTTCTCTCTCGTACGTATAAATCTAGCTAGCACCTTGTCGAGTTGTGATATTTCTCTCGCCGCTTCTGCCGCTGCCGAGCGCGAACATTCCGCTAAATGAAGTTGCTAACCAGGCCCCGTAACCTGCTATATTATAACACATATAAAGCTCGGGATAATATACATACACATAAATACGCTGGAATGGCAAATTCCTCCTATGAGCCTTTTCTTCACTTCGTACCACGGGCATATTATATATGTAACACACTCGCACACAGACACGGTTCGGAGCAGTGGGCACACTGACAAACGCGCATACACATATAAGCCATCCTTTTATGTAATAATACATTGATATACAAAGAGCAAAAGCCGAGTGAGCAGCAGTTGGCCTGTATTATAGGAGGCCCTCGCTTGATTCATGAAGATGCGGCGGACCTCCTTCGGATCGTTGAGAGTCTCGAGCCGGCGGGTGGTCCCACAGGTTGATTTCTTGTTTCTTCTTCTCTTCTCTTCGCTCTCTCTCTCTCTCTCTCTCTCTCTTTGGCTCAGTTCTCGCGTATATATGCACACACATACATAGTCCGTATATTGTATATGTGCATTGGCTTTTTGTCCTCGCGCATATACGTATAGATATATACGTGATTTCCTCTGTCTCGCTGCTTTGCTCGCCGAAAAATGACAAAGGACGCGACTTTTGGATATGACTTTATTGTTCGCCTTTTGCATACATACCCGAGCACGTATGTGTGTATAAAGAAAGGAGCTTGAGTAATTGCTATCGAGCCATCTCTCTCTCTCTCTCTCTTTCACTCTCTCGCCCGCGTAGGCCAATGATATAGATTTATCGTGAACACGTAATATAAAAACGGATTTAGGAATTAAAGAAAGTAGTATAGCAAAATAATCTGTTTCTGGTGCATCGTTGCAAGTATATAAGAGCTGCGAATCATGCTCTACTGCACCTAAGCGTCGGAACGATTCGATAAAACTCGAAGGTGCCAATGATAAAAAAAAATCGAATTTTCACCATTACTTACAATGAGTTTCTTCCATTAATATCCATTGCACTGACCCAAATAAATTTGAAATATTTTACTAATAAACTGGGCAGTTTTTTCGTGAGCAGCAGCAGCCGCAACCACCCAGGCAGATCCCGCTGGGCTTTCTGCATTTTTACAAGAGTACTTCCACACATAGACTCTCTCTCTTTCTCGATCTTGAGACTTCTTTCCAAGAATATACGTGGCGCTCGTGCGCAGCTCGCAAAAGGGTACACACACACACACACATACCGCATTGTACTGCGGCAATATACATGTGCCCGTGCCCCGCGTGCGCCAGTCGTCGTCGTCGTCGTTCGATTAGTCCGCGTCGTCCGCGGGGCTGCTGCTCCGTAGCGCGCGGGGCATATATAAATAGTCTGAAACTCGGTCAAATCGCGAAATGAGGATATATCTGATTTTCGATGAGTTATTACATGTATGTATGCTGCTCGAGCTCGCGACCGACCAACCACTGCTGCTGCTGCTGCTGCTGCTGCTGCTGAATCGTATATTATGCATCTCTTGGCAAAACGGCAGGTGGATGTATAATACACACACACACACACACACACACACACACAGGCTGGTACATATACCGCGCAGACTCGCGACGGGAATTCAATTTTTGAAAAGAAAATCTCGCTGATACGTATCTTTATTTATTACTGGATACTCGCTTTTGGAGTGCGGGTGTGTTTGTCCGTGGTGTACGACTGCTGCAGCTTCGGGCTCGTTGTCCTTGTCGTCGTCGTTGTTGATAAAGCGATTAGTTTCCGAGATTGCCATCGTGCGCCGCATGTATACACATTTATATATTGCGAGAGTTTCTTTTTGCCGTGTACAACAGACAGTAAAAAAGAGAGGAAAAGGCGGCCAAACAATGAATTCGTTTCTCCGCATTTATTTACCTTTTTTTTGCTTCCCTTCGAGCGTTATACGTATAAAAAAAAGCTTACATAGACCTTTGACTATTGTGAGAAAAAAATATGCAGCTCGATAAGAGGCGCGTGTAACGTAATTTTTCGTCGTTGATGCCCGCTGCTGTACGTATTAGACACGTATATGTGTGGCGCAAGTCAGAAACAAAATCATTTTCAAGGATCTGTAGGGAAAAACACAAAGGTTGGAGTTTCATATCGAATGGGTAAGTATACGTACATGAAGAAATAAAGTGTACAACAATTGCGATTAGGTTTCGTAATGGATTTCATTTATTGCGAAAAAAAAAGGACACATGTTTGCGCGCGCCCGACGACGCGCGAGCTTCTGATCGCTCGCTCGCGCGCCTTCTCGGTGTTGATTTTTTTTCTTTGCATTTCACATATCAATGACATTTTTTTTGTTTTATTTAATTAATTAATAATTTCGTTTACTTCGTTATACAGAACATCACATAGTTTCCATTTAATAATTTTTCTCTCTCTCACATATTCTCGCACGCGTACACATACATACACACACTCCATTATACTCCATGCACACTTCTATGTAATATATTTATAAATATGAATCGCAGAGGGGGGCTTGGGGGCGAGATAGGGAGGTTTCAGGAGGGGCCCTCCTTCGAAGTGCACCTTTCAATGTTTATTTGTTACATTTTGTTTTTATTCGTTCACTCGTCTATTATTTATTTATTTATTTTTTCTTCGTTTAATAGAATTAGTTGAAAAAACAATATCTCCTATTATCACGAGAGATACATTAAATTAATATCTTCACAGACTATCGACCCATATACATTCATATTATAAGGTAATAAGTGGCTAGTAAACATTATACAATTCGTGGATGGGCGTGTACGTACGTATGTATGTATGTATGTGTGAGTGTACTTCTATGTTTATGTAATTTTTTCACCTTTTTGTAATATATATAAGCCGCTTCGCGCACCGACGGCACATGTGTGTATATAAGAACAAACGTTTTGGACGAGAAATGACTAATTTAAATGACGAAGCTCAACGACGGGCGATTTTCATTTGCTTTATTATCGAGCCAACGACGATGGGTATACTCCCGCGTTTATTGGTGTTTGATACGTGTGCGAGACTCATCAAAGTATACAACAGCGCACGAGGAAAAAAAAAATAAAACAAGGGAGAGCGAGATGCGACGATGGCTGCTAATATTATGTACAGAAAATACGATTAATTGGGACAGATTGTACGTGTGAGTGTGTGTGTGTGTGTGTGTGCGTGCATGAGTGTGGGTGTATGCGCACCTCTACGGCTGCTGCTGCTGCCGCTGCCATTGCAAAGCTTTAGAAAACGGAAAGACTCGATTATTCTCCGAGACGGTTTTGCGTGTAATATATTATTCTCGCGCGCGAGAATCGCGATAAAACTGCCCTCTCCGTGTGTACACGTATGTACGCCCTGGTTGGTTGCCGTGTATTATATGCGTGTTTATAAATGTCTGTCCGTGTACGTGTGTAGTTTCTCGCACTCGAGCTTCGCGTGTTTTCGTGAAATTGGAGTTCGCGTTTTCGCGATGGATGGATAGGTTTTTGCGACTGGCTGCTTTTTCGAGACTGGCTTATACGTACCAATTACTCGTCCCGCGCTAAACATTGTATTACGTATAGAGCCGTGTGGCTTGGCTATTCTATATACCGAGTGCGATGGAGATAAAAGGGGGGCAAAAAACTCACGCAGACAAGGAAAGTCCGAGTCAAGCAGAGAGACGTGAAATAAGCTATAGTTCGACGCTGCACGAACGGGAGATGTCTTCGTGAAAGAGTCAACCTCGATGCTACACTCGGGCCTTCGTCGTTTTTGCTTTCCCCTGTGTAATTGTGAAAATGCTTTTTGTCCGCCCACGCGCATCGTTGCAGTAATTCGTAATAAGCCACCCGAACACATAATTGTCTTCTCGATCACAAAGCACATCGAGATTTTCGATTAAATTCATTCCGCTCGCCCCGTTAAAAATCTTCAGTCGTTGGTTCGTATATACGGTATAATAATGATAATAATCGTACCTAAAGTCGTCTAATCTACATACAATACATACACATCGTTCGTCCAAAACGGTACAATGAACGTCGTTGAATTACCAATGATTTTTTGTTTTATTTCATTATTCTTTCGATTATTCAATTCTCGTTACTTATATCGTCCACTTTTTTCCACCTTCGTTAATTCTCTGACAAATATTTACAAAACGCTATTATTTAATATCGATAATTGTTTTACATATATTTTTATGTATAATTATTTCGTAGAGTTTTCATCTATGTATAAATAGCAATATAGACATTTTTGTTACGCTGATAAAATTAGGTAATTTACCTTCTACTTGTGTTCGTTTTCTTTTTTATTTTTTTTCACCGACTCCGGTCATCGCTACTCGGCAATGACTGTGTGCCATTAAAACCGAATTCCATTGATTGCACATCTTTTGAAGATGATAGATCCGTGAAAAATAAAAAGAGACCGATCCGAAAAAGATGTCCCGTCTCCGTAAAAAATTAAAGCGCGTGACAGGTGATCTTTTAAGCACCCTCTATAATATAAGTATACCATAATATAAATATACTATTCAAAAAGAAAATTTAAAAGCTACTTATTGAGAAGAAAAGGTAAATCATTCTGAATATTTTTAATGAAAACGAAAAACAAAGAGAAAGATCGACATTATTTTTCGGATCGCTCTCAATCGGGTCAAATCAACGAATATCGCGAGAGAAATATAGATGCGTCAAAACGTTTTACAAAATTGATGAAATTTTTCTGATAAAAACGTCGCAAATGGTAAAATCGTTCTCTCACAAGTCGAAGATAACGCACTGAAAATTCATTCAGTCACTACATCGTCTTTATCCACGTATGATATATATATATAATTATATAAAGGGTTTCTCAACTTAATCGAAGTCGTGTGTTTCTCATTTTATTTACACTATGTACAATTTTTTACGCTTTATCAATTCGTTATTAATAATCGTTTGTAATTAATTTAAGATTTTATCCTCTGTTTTTTTTTTGTATTAATTTTATTGTCGCGCACAGATATTTAAATCGGTCACACGTACCTATTGCCGTACGGAGCTCTCGCTCGCTCACACACACACAGTAGTCGAGGAGGGGAGGAGGAGGCTCCTTTATCAGACGCGCCCGGGAGACTTGAGCTCCGTGGGCGCTAGACTAGCACCGCTACTTGGATTTGGAGATTGCTGCTCCGTCGTCGAGCCGTTGGAGGACGCCTGCGACGACGACGAGGGCGATATGCCCGACTGCACCGTGGTCAGCATCACCGCCTGCGACGAGGACGAGGTCGGTGTCGCTCCGCCTCCGCTCGTCGTCGAGTTGCCGCCGTTGTTGATCGAGAACGGGATCTTGAGATTGGCTGCCACCGCCGCCGCCGCAGCCGCGGATGAGCTGGACGCGGCCTGAAGCATGTTGGGGGCGCAGCTCGTTGGCGGCATCACACCGCCGAGCGCCAGGGTGCGCTGGTACTGCTCCAGGATGGCCATCTCGTGGGGCGCCGCGCCGTAAAAGTTCCGATAGAACTCGGCGCCGGGTGGCTTGATGTAGTGACCCGCGGGTCCGCCACCGGAGGCTGCAGCAGCCGCCGCCGCCGCTGCGTGCATCTGAGCCGGATGCAGCGGATGATGGGGTGGCAGTCGACTGGCCAGCGGCGAGAATATCTTGCCGACGTTGTTGCTGTTGGCGTAGGGCGAGCTGAGCACCGCCGCCGCCGCCATGGCACTGGCCGACTGCGCATCGCCGTCCTTGCTGGCCATGTCGGCGAGCGACCAGATCCGCGGCTTCGAGGACGAGTTCGAGCCCGGCGTGGCTACGATTCCGCCGCCACCGCCGCTGTGACTCGTGCTCGGAGGCAGTGGATGGCCGCCCGGCGACGTTCGCTCCGGCGAGTGATGGCGCAGCAGTGGATGATGATGCGGATGATGCGGATGGCCCCGCTGCTGTTGTCCCGCGGAGGCCGCCAGCAGACCCGGATGATTGGCGAACTGGAGCGGGTGATGGGGCGGCCGGTCGCGATCGTACAGGCACTCGGGGCTGCCGGGACTGCTCGCGGGCCTCGACTCGTTCCACGAGTCGAAGTCGTGGCGGCCCGAGCCAAGACCCCCGGGCCCGCTCGAACCGTGTATGAGGTCGAGTCTGTGGCTCGCCGACGGGCCCCGCTCGCCGTCCTCGCTCGAGCCCGTGCCCGAATCCTTCGAGTCTGTAACATTCAACAAACGACACGACGTGTTCTAAATTTGCTGCTTCAACTGATTGGCGATTCTCTCGAACTGTTCCGAATGCCCACGATGATAAAAATAAGAATTAATAATGAAGAATAAACTTACCCAGTCTGTCTTTGTCGTCGACGCTCTTCCTACCGCTGTCGTCATCGTCGTTGTTGTTGTCCTCGTCTTCGACTCGATTTCGCGGCTCCCACGTCATTTTGTTCTCCTTCTTTAGTCGTCTCCGGGCATTGGCGAACCACGTCGAGACCTGTGTGAGCGTCATCTTCGTGATGATGGCCAACATGATCTTCTCGCCTTTGGTCGGGTAAGGATTCTTCTTGTGTTCGTTCAGCCAAGCCTTGAGCGTACTGGTCGTTTCTCGCGTGGCATTTTTCCGCCTTGCTCCGTTCAGATCCATGCCGTATCTGTACACGAGGACAAAAAAATAAGGGAAAGGGCTCCGTTTAGTCTCGGTCAATATTTCGCACGCTGATTTATAATTGTACACATACACACATGTATATATTGGCTCCATGACGGTTATGCACGCGCATATCATTAGATCGAAAATAAACGATAAGCACCGCAACCCTAATACGAGTTTTGATTAAGCTACTATAGTTCGAGCTATATGTGCATTACTCTTGAACAGTTTCTGATTGAGAGAGAGAGAGAGAGAGAGCAAAAAAAAAATCCCAAAACGTGACGCCGTGAGTGGCAGCTCTTGCATAGTATGTATGGCGCCCAACGCGGGGCTCGCTTGCGCCTGCGATCGATTTGACGCGATGACAAGTCAAGACAGAAATAAGATACAAAGAGGGCAACAGATAAAGTCGCGATCTCTCTCGCGTGCGCACGTCTATATACAGCAACAGCAGGGTCAGGATAAAAGTCGAGCGAGAGTCAAAAAAAAGTGGGGAAAAAAAAGGAAGAAAAAAAAACAGTAGTAGCAGTAGCAGCAGCGTAGTGCCAATACGAGAGGTAGAGATCCGAGCAAAAGATTGAGAACATTATATATACCGCGTGTATACAGGAGCAGCAAGCGCCCAGCGACCAGGGGGTTATATACCTGGGTTAGAAAGAAAGTATCTCTCTCTCTGGGAAAGTTATCCAATCACGAGGCTCGTTACGCCTCTCCTCGTGGCATATATAGCAGAGTGTTACATATATATATGTAGGAAAAAAGTCTGTGCTCTGTGTCGAGCGCTGGTGGCGGTTGAGGGGTATTACTTTTCTTCCCGAGATCTTTTATCTAACGGTTTAACCTTTCGCGAGTGCACTCCAGCTACCAAGCGCCATATTATATATAGACCAAAAAGAGAGAGGATCGTTGCAAGTTCGAGTCTCTATTACACTTTATCAAAGAGATTAAAGCTTATAAATGCCGAATCGACGGGATTGAAATTAAATTTTTTCTTCACGCTTGACGTTTTTCATCCTGCTGACATGTTTAATTCATTCGTTCACACATATTTTGGACAGCCATGGCTACAGGCGCGCAGAGTGCAACGCAGTAAATTAAGCGAAATCGGGCGGGCACGCGGTGAACTTGTTCTTCCGGCCACGAAATATATAATTCAGTTTTCGAGTACGAGGAAGAGCGGCGCAACCACTGCACACATGCGATCGCGACGACGTCCCTTTGTGTGTTACACACATACCATCTCAGCCCTATATTATTGAGTTTTGTGTCAATCCTCGACGCAGTAATACTGACAAGTTTGTCCGCGCGCTAAGAGGGTGTGTGTACGCGCAGTTTATATCGAGCTACAGTATGATATTCTATACCGCTGCTGCTGCTGCCTGAGATACGGAGAATTAATAAAACTGTCACTTGTAACCCTCTGGTGACGCGTCGAGTTTGCTTGTGAATATCTATATATTTGCACGATATATAACGTGTAATACAGAGAGAAAGTGCGAGAGCGAGACTGTCTGCGGACTTGATCTGTGTTTGCGTGCATTACTACGATACGGGACTTTTTTCCTTTTTCTGCACGCGGTATTGAATATAGAGAAGAGCGTTTCAACGCTGCCGTACTTCGTAAACATTTCAATTTTTTTTCTGTTTTGATGTAAAATCCGAGAGAGAGAAAAAAGAAATGCATATAATATGAACATTTGATTAATGCGCCGTATCAAATTTAACTTAAGACATTAATTAAAAGATAGCAAATAGTATATTTTGCACCCAGGGAGTGAAAAACTGAAAAGTCTCAGAGTACGTGTAATTTATCATCCGAGGCGAAGCCGAGGTTGTTAATCACGTGCTCTGAGACTTTCATTTTTTGCTTATACATAGGTGCAAATTCAATTTTTTGTGAGCCCCCCAGCCTAAAATAACATTTTGGTTTTGCGCAGCGGGAGTAAAATGTTACTTTAGGTTGGGGTGGCACAAAAAAATATGTTTAACCTTCTCCCAAACCATAATTTAACTTATACACTTATTTTCATTTAGCCACTTTTAGTTTTGCGGACAAAGGTATTCGCCATCTAGTGGTGAAAGCTCAAAGTGGTATTATCGTATATAAATTACAATATTACGCGTTTTCGTTCATCTCATAAACAGAAAACACGAAGCTAGCTCGAGCTTGAGATTTGTGAACCATGAAAGGGATCGTCCCCGCAGGAGAAACAAATTAATGCATACGGTGCCTCGCGAGTTTTTGATTCTCCGCGTGCGCAGACTTGCGAGCCAAAGAGAAAGAGAGAAAGCAAAATGGCGTTCGTTCATATATTCGCTACACGATTTGGAAAGGCACATACACACACACACAGCGGGGGGGTCGCATTACTTACTACTACTGGTGGTGGAGCTAGGATTAAAAAATCAGAGTGGTTGCTGCTTGTTGCTCGCGCGAGATAACAGCTTGCCGCGAGCGCGCCCGACAAAGAGCAGCATCATGCCCCAGCGAGCGGAAGAAAAAGAGAGAGAAAAAGAGTCAGCGAGCCGAGGTGAAGGGGTGGTGGTGGCGGTGTTGCTGTTGGCGCGAGAGTTGATCGCATCACGACTTTTGTTACCATGGCGATTGCTAATCGGACCGTACGTATACGTGTCTTTCTCTCTTTCAGTTATATAAACGCGCGTGTGCTGCGAGAGGATTATGCGCTATACGATTCGTATGTACATATATATGAAGATTTTGATTGGTTATAACGCGTTTATAACGCGTAACAGAGAGAGAAAGACGAGAAAGAAAGAAGAGGAAAATTGTTTCCGCTACAGATATGCTAAAAAACAAAGAAATATAAGGAGAGTAATACATAACTCGCAGTGAAAGGAAACAATGGAAATGGCTACACACATACACGCGTGTATGTAATTGATTTGGCACTTTTGTATTTGTAAAAAGGAAAATAATATAATACCGAAGGTCGCGCACGCAGTTATATGGTAGCCATGATTGCCATTATAAGCATCACCACCACCGATTCGCGCATCAGCATCCAACATCCAACATCCGCAGCAACGTCCCTGCGCGGCCGATAATTTGTAATCGCAGTTTAATCGATGAACGCTGTTCGACAATTACACTCGACCCGCGACTGTGGGAAACTGATAAAGCTTCGGCCAATATAATACACGTGCTCTGCTTTGTATTGTGCATCAGCGTGTGTGAGCGTGTGTGTAAGTGCGCCGGATTGGCTGCGCGTCGGCGAAAGATCAAAGCTGCATCGCGTCCTCCTCCCCCCAAGCGCGCGCGCGCGAACTCGTGGAAATGAATTCTTCCTCTTTGGACGCGACGACGACGACGACCGAAGCTTGCGCACACGCTCGCGTATTCCGGCCTCGATAGTTTATAATAGTGTATATTTCTTCTTCTTCTTCTTCTTCTCTCGCGTACGTTGCGCAAAAATTTAATGAATAATGCGTGTACATTCCGGCTGGGCCGCATGAGTAGTAGTAGTGGTAGTAGCAGTAGTAAGTGGTGCTTTATTCAATTACAATAAGTAGCTGCTTTATAGCGGTAGGTAGCGGCGAGTTATGTATAATGGAGGAGCCGCCAAAAGGTGAAAATATATATCGGGGACGTGCGAATGTGTATAAAGAACCGCACAGCGGAAAAGCACACCGGAGTCGTCGCAAATAATCGATGTATATAGGCGATCTTATCTCTCCCACGATAATACCCGTGGCAGGCGAAATAGTACGAAACGACTCCGAACGAACGTATCCGCGAGGTGCGTTATGTAGGTTGATTGATTTTCCTATATATATAATAATAATTATATTGTAACTGTTTTGCTACAATATAATTATTACTTACCATTCATGGATTTGAAAGTAAGTCAAATTATTTAAATCAATCCTATTTTCAAAAACAAAAACCTATACATTCAATTTAAGAGTCTTGAAACGCTAAATAAATACATAAACGTCATAATATCTGCTTATCTGCGTGTCCATACGTTATGCTTGTATGTGCAAAGACGAGAAAGAGACATAGTCGGCACGTACGAAAACTGGTATATTACACAGATATTTACATTATTATATTATAATAATATAATATAAAAATCGCGCTAGCCTCGCTAAGGTTCGAGTGAATAAAATGAGGTACGAGATAGTACGAGCGTGCGCGGGGTGGGCACGGCTTTATATGCGGAGCAAAAGAGAGAGCGAGAAAGAGACGGAGCTCGTGTGTGTGAGTTTGTAAGCGCGGGCAGGTGTGGTATATCCGAGCTAGCGCTCCGCCCCTCATTAGTATAGCCGCCGCCGCTGCCGTCGCCGCAGCAGCGATCACGCGCACACACGCTATATGTGCTGCCAACACGAGAGAGAAAGAGAAAGAGAGAGAGAGAGAGAGACAGACTGAATCGGCTCTTCAAGGGCTGTACTCGTATAATATAAGGTAGAAATATCTCCCCACACGTGCGGCTGCTGTTGATGCCACGGCCACAAGCCCCGCGCTTCATATGTGATATGCATTTATTATTATATCCAATGATGAAACCTCGACTCCGATCTTTGGACGAGCTGCTGATCCCGAAGATTTTTCTTTCTTTTTTTTCAATCTCTCCAGGCTCGAGAAATTCTTTATAACGCTAATAAAAAATCATATTAAATAATGTATAATATTCGCTTGCGTGTACGACTTGCTGCAGCGAACTCTTATCTCTACCGGCCATCTTTAGCGAGTGATTTTTTTATCCGCTGCTCAATTTCTCCTTTTTTTCGAGCAGTGAGATGAAAGAGGAGTATATTTTATAAAGGGCGGCGCGATCGCGTCGTGGTTAATCAGGTGTAAAGCCACGCCGCGCCAGCGTCGCGTTTGCGCGCGATGCACGACATTATAAAATGTGCACTCTTTCGGCAATATATAATAAAACGACGATTCGTTGCTCTCGAAAATGACAAAAAAATTAATAGATTGTTCAGAACGTTCACAATTGTTCAGAAATGCTCAACATTAATGATGGCTTC